GGCACCCACCCCTGCCCCAGCGGCACCACCACAAAGCCCCAGGACGCCAGCTCCGAGCAGACCGAGGAGTACAGGGTCCTGTCAGGGAGCCGGGGGCAGCGGGGTCAGGGCTGCCCCGCCAATGCAAGGCAGATCCAAGCAGGGCTGTGGGGGGCCAGGAGACCTAGGTCCCCATCCTGGCTCTGGCCCTGAGCAGGGACTCAGCACCCCCAGCCCTGCTCAGGGACCATCCTACCAAAGGGCTCCCAGGCTGTGGGAGATGATGACCAGTGGGTACCTGCTGCTGCAGGGCTTGAAAGCCCCCTTCCAGCTCACCAGCACTCTGCCGGAGCCTGCGGGGGAGAGAAACCCCCCCAGGGAAAGGTGGGTGATGGCACCAGCCCCATCCCTGCCACCTGCTCCCCTGAGCACCAGGGATGGGCTTGGTGTCCTTGAACCCTGCTAAGGGAATGGAAGCCCAGGGGACAGGATGGCACCTGGGGTGGGGGACGGGATGCTGGCCGCCCCCTTATCAATGGCGACGCTGAGCAGGGGCATGCACCAGCGCCGGCTGTGGTGGGCGAAGTCGGCCAGCCCGCTGCGCAGCGTGGGACCCAGAGCGGCTGCTCGGCCCCTGCCCGGGGCAGGCAGGGGTAGAAGAGGCGAAGGAAAAGCCCCTGCAGGAGAGAGGAGAAAGGGGGACATGGTGGGGACAGCACGGAGCATGGGTGGCCATGTCCTTCGGTGAGCTCAGTCCTTGCAAAAAATCCCGGCTGGCTGCAGCCACCCTGCTGTGCATGGAAGCCTGTCCCCATCCCTGTCCCCATCCCTGTCCCCATCCCTGTCCCCATCCCTGTCCCTGTCCCCGTACCCCTCCTCCTTCCCCCACCCCTCTCCTGTTGCCCAGACCCCGGGCATTGCCCCTAGCACTGCGCCAGCAAACGCACTGGCAGCAATTGGAGAAATGAGGCTCCCAATTCCCACCCCACCGAATTCCCACAGACGAAGACCCTTGGGGCCGCTCAGGGATAAAACCCCACGGAGCGGGGCGGCGGGGCTGGTGGCTGGTGGGTGCCCAAGGGGGGCTCAGCAGGACCTGTCCCAGGGCCCCCCGGCTGCGGGGGCCCCGTCCCCGTCCCCCCTTGCTCCCGGGGCTGTTTTTTACATCCGCGAGGCCCTGGTGGCGAGGTTCCTTCCCCAAGGGCAGCACCAGCAACTGCGTCCCCCCATGCTGCTGAGGCCAAGCCTAGGCAGAGGCACAGGGTCAGGGTCCGTCCCTTGCCCAGGGGACCCCAACTCGGTCCCTCCTCCTTCCCCCACCCCTCTCCTGTTGCCCAGACCCCGGGCATTGCCCCTAGCACTGCGCCAGCAAACGCACTGGCAGCAATTGGAGAAATGAGGCTCCCAATTCCCACCCCACCGTTTCCCAGGGCCCCCCGGCTGCGGGGTCCCCGTCCCTGTCCCCCCTTGCTCCCGGGGATGCTGAGGCCAGACGCTGCAGAGCTGGGGCGGCACAGGGGACGTGCGAGCAGGGGGTCAGCGTGGGGCTGGCAGCGCTGAGCACCCACGGGAGCCACTGAGGACACGGGGGGGCAGAGCCCTGCACCCCCCCGGTGCAGAACTACAGCTCCCAGCAGCCCCCGGGGCGGGGGAACCACAACTCCCAGCATGGCCCTGGCCTGGGACCACACCTCCCAGTATGCGCTGGGTCCCCGGGACTACACCTCCCAGTATCCCCAGCTGAACTACAGATCCCAGTGCTTCCCAGTGCCCGCCTCAGAGCCCTCCCCGCAGCCCCCAGTGCTCCCCCCAGCGCCGCCAGTTACCATCGCAGCTCCCAGTACTCCCAGTGCTCTCCAGCTCCCAGTGCCCTCACTTATCCCCGCAGCTCCCAGTGCTCCCCAAGAGCTCCCAGTGCCCCCCGCCATCTCCCCCTACGGCTCCCCCAGCTCCCAGTTTCCCTCTGTACCCGCCAGCTCCCA